CATGACACATTTTGAAAACTAGTTTTCATTTTGTGGATTTCAGGACACTCTTTTTGCTTGAATGCAAAAATAAATATGTTCACCATAAAGACTCTGTGACATTGTGGCTGGGACTAAACTGGGATTGTAGAGTCAAGGGTCCGAGCTCAGTTCCTAAGAACAGTCACCATCTGTTCATCACGGTTTAATAGACATGAACTGGCCCCTCGAAGGACCCTGCACCATGTGTTGGGGCTTGCTGGACAAACAGAATGTGGTCCCTGGCAGCCTGGGAGGAGTGACAGATAAATGAACAAGCAGTTCCTAGAAAGCGTGACAAATGCTGAGTGGGCTGGACACCTGTGCAGAGTGCCGTGGGAGCCCAGAGCTGAGGACTTGGCTGTGTGGCTCTGGGTCAGTCATGTCCCTTCGTTGGCCTTGATTTTCTATGCCAGAGAATTCTGTTCAGCATGCAAGTGCCTAGCCCAGAGTTACTATGTCATCAGTAGCCACTGTCTTTCCCTTTCTGGGGTGAGAGTTCTCAAACTTTCAAACACTTTCATCCACACCTGTCTAACCCACAGCTCTACCCGAAGTCTTGCCTTTTGCATAGGAACTGAGCCTTCCTTGATCTTCTTAATTTTTGTACTCTCGGAAACCCCCAGGGTCATGCCTCAAGGTTATCAGTAACACGTGGCCGTATTTCCCAAGTACCTTCGGCCTCTGGTCCCTGTGTTCTCAGGTGGTATTTCAGTGGCCCAAGGGAGGCATGCAGATCTCAGTCCTTTCTAGAATCCCCAGGAGGTCCAAACCCTTTTGTGTTATTTTGAGGACCCTGTTGAAGATCTCGGGGTCACACAGAGAACAGGCACACTGGGCTCCCGGCAACATTCTGCCACCTCGTTCGCCCTCATCTTCTCCTGTTCAATCCCAGCCGACAAGTGGATTCCTTTTTCTCTTCCTCTGAAGGCTGAGCACAACTGATCCCAGGGCCCTGGGGATGCATCTTATGCTCCAAATAAACTTCTTAAGGCATTTCTCCAAGAAAGGCCATTTTCTCTAAGAGGAATGCCCACTGTTAGACAGAGGCAATTTTCTCTCTCCCTTTACAGCTCATTTTATACTCATTAACAGCCCTCTGAGATTAGTGCAATAATTTCCACTTTATAGAAGAGGAAATGGAGGCTCAGAGATGAAGTGCCCTTGCCCAAGGTCGCACAGCTAGTGAGTGCCAGAGTCTGGCTTCAGGCTGCACTCCACCAGGCTCCACTGCTCCCTGTGGCCTGAGGACAGAGGCATGGGCTTCAGAGGAAGCAAGTAACATTCCCAGTGCCCTGACCTTCCCACTCTGGGAGGGAGTCTCTGCTCCGTGACGGGCTTGCACCATCCCTTCTCCTCTTGGAAAAGGTGCCTCTGCCTGCTACCTCCTTTAAGAAGAGCAGAAAGGTGTTTTGAGTGCACAGCTGCGCAGGTGAGCTGTGGGGGGAATTCTGGAGAAGCTGAGACCAGCAGTGGGAAGACAGGCCAGTGGTCAGCTGAGCACTAAGTGTGGTGGAGTCCCGCATCACCCTCTCCAGCGGACCACTGGCTCCTGAGGGGCAAGCATTTCTGCCTCAGTTCTCGGCCTCCTCCCAGCATCCTCTGCAGATGGCCACAGGTTCGTGCTGACTCCGTGCCCCGTGCTATCATGGCGCAGCGCAAACATGGGGGCACTGGACCCTGGGGGACTTAGATCTCAGCCGCGCACTCACAATGTGGCACCGCCCACAGAGCTCTGCCTTCCTCTCTGACGAGACTAGTGATGCTTTCCTCACAGATGGTGGTGAGGTCTACAAAACAGGCCATCTTTCCGTTGGCTTGATACTCCCTGGGGCCCTCCCGTGCATGTCTCTGGGCTGCATGCGGGCTCCTGGGATGAGCAGACAGCGCACCTGCTCTGACACACAGGGCTTACATTCTAGCGGCCAAGGCCAACTTTTGAAAAGCTGCCGACTGCAGAAAACGAATACATAAAGAAACAGTGAACAAGAGGAGAAAGAAAGAGCCACTGAGCTCTCCCCAGGGACTCAGCAAGGACATCTTCAGAGAGGAGACAAAGTGAACAGGAGTGAAAGCAGGAGAGGGTATGGCCCAGCTCCAGCAGGGTGGGGCAGGGTGGCAGGCAGAGCGCAGGAGAGGGGGTGGGAGAGGCCGGCTCCGCTTCCCTCTAGGGCATGCGCAGCACCTGCCCGGACTCTCTCCAGACCCCTCTGGTCAGGCATGGGTTCTGACTTTGCACACTAGGCATGTAATCAGGTAGATAGAAGTTCAAAAACTCCACTTTGCCACTTGCTGGTCTTGCTACTCTACACAAGTTCCTGGCCCTCTCTGGCCTCAGTTTATTCATCTGTAAAGTGGGGCTGGCAGTCCGTCCCTCCCTCACAGGGTCACAAGATGATGCAGTGATAGAACCCAACACCGTGCAGCTGGCTATCAACAGTGTTTTGTTTTTATTGTTTCATTTGTGCTTTGAGGGCACATTGGAAATCCCCCAGAAAATATTTAACATGGGCTTGGCACTTGTTAAGATGTTTAACACGATGGACAACTCTTGGATTTAAAAGGGTCTTACATGTTGCCATTCTCACTCTCTAAGGAGATGAGGTGAGAGAGCCTGAGGAGTGATGATCTTATTGGGGTGTGGCGTCCGTTTTGAAGGCACCCCCGGAGGAGGCGTGTCGTGAGGTCCTGAGCAGGGCTGGGAGAGTTCTGGTGTCTGGACCTGCTGAAAGGCTCCAGCTGGGCGAGGCCAGTGGAGAGGCGCAGACTTCCCAGGCAAGCGGCTTCTTGCTCTCCCTGGACTTGTACATTTGTCCTCATGCCGTCAGGACCAAACGGCCACACCACATCCTAACCTCTCCCCGCCCCCACTACAGGGACCACACTTTTCACCTTATCCTGTGTGGGCTCAGCACAATGCACCCTCAGCAAGAGCCTGTTCAATGTCACATTTTCAAAGTCACCCATTTGCTTTTGGAACGCTGGCTCTCTTTTACACAAAGGACCTGTGAACATGAATAACTGGGCTGTACAAGTGACCGTGAACTCCTCAGTCGATCCAGAGCCAGGCTGCTCGCTGACTCCAACAGCACGGGAGCAGGTCTGGGCTGGTTTGGCCAGGCTCCCTGACATTTCTGGGCATCCTGCTCAAAAGAAGACTGCTTGGAAGTGTGTTCCTTGGTAAGGCTCTGACACAGTTCACAGGATGTTTTTCCCTATAGGGGCAGGTCAGGGAACTCTGTTCGCATCAAGTCCCTCCCTCTTTCCTACTGCTACATTGGCACAGGGGCGGCCTTACCCCTAAATGCTCTTAGGCGACAGAATGCGAATGCCCCTAAATTCAAATACCCCCAAATGCTCTTAGGGTGATAGGATCCGTCATTTTGCATAAGGATGCTTCGCAGCACTGCCACTTAGAAGACTTTCAGAGTAGAGACAGCATATGAAACCTTATTTGTATCACTATTCCTATTGCTGCAAAAGAAAAACCATCATATATTTGAGTACTTACTAAGTTCAAGGTACAATTCTAACTGCTCTGCAAACAGCATTTCATTTAACCCCCCACTGGTGAGGTTAGTATTACTGTTATTCCCCGTTTTATAGGTGAAATAAAAGATGAACCCAAAGAAATGACAGAACTTGGTCAAGTCCAATAGGTAGTATAGAGGGAAAATACTGATTTAATCTTTAGCCTGTGCTTAAGTACTTCCAGCTAAAATAGTCAACACAAGAACTTATGGGGATGCTGATCACAAAAGAAGTTATGCTTCTATTATAAGAAATGCCTAAGCGGGGCACCTGAGTGGCTCATTCGGTGAGGCGGCTGCCTTCGGCTCAGGTCATGATCCCAGGGTCCTGGGATCAAGCCCCGCATCGGGGGAGAGCCTGCTTCTCCCTCTCCCTCTCTCTGCCGCTCTGCCTACTTGTGCTCTCTCTCTATCTCTGTTAAATAAATAAATAAAAATCTTAAAAAAAAAAAAAAAGAAATGCCTAAGCTTTACAGAATGACTTCACATGCGGGGATTGTGTGTGTGTGTGTGTGTTTGGTTTGTTATAATCTGTTTTGTACAAAAGCATCTATTTTATATGAAGTATAAACAGAAGATTGGTAGTAAAATAAGACAGCCAGTGTTATATATGGGGGTCTGGGACCACGTGGGAAAGGTTGGCACAGCAGTAGAGTGTGAAAGCATGACCATATCTGCTTTTAAAGATTGATTGATTTAGAGAAAGAGAGTATATGATCAGGGGCATGGGCGGGGACGGGGGGGGTCAGAGAATCACAAGCTGGCTCCACTCTGAGCACGGAGCCCAACGCAGGGCTCAATCTCACAGCCCTGAGATCATGAACTGAGCTGAAATCAAGAGTCAGATGCTTAACTGACTGAGCTGTGTTGTCAGTGGCAGGAGGGGAAATTGCAAGGTGTAGTCAGTGGCGCCTGTGACCGTGTGGACGGACCGAGCACTGCGTCCTGAGCCTGTGGCTGGAGTTGCAGCCTGTGCACCTCCGTGCCGTTAACGAGAGTGAGGGGGCTGATTTCCCAAGGGGAGAGGATGTGGCTGGATTAAATGTCAGGCAGGTCAGAACTCCAGCAACCATCTCAATTCGTATATCCCCGGAGTGTTGTGTGTGTGTGTGTTGGTGGTACTCAGGGTGGTTTCCCGGGGTACCCTGATGAACCTTTAAGAATTTAACAATTTTGCGTTTTTTTAATAGTTAACATTTACGTATGGCAAGTGATTCGGGTTTTCCCTTTATATAGTTAGGTTTTCTTTTAGATGCATGCATTTAAATAAGAAGAAAAGAGTTTGATTTACAGAAAAATGTGAATTAAATTGTATTCTCTGTGGCAATAGTCATGAAGGCTGTGGCTGAGCTAAGTTTGGAGGGCTGGTCCCCCCTGTTTTAGCAGAACACACCCCCCCCCCGCTTCCGGAAAGTCCTCAAAGCCCCCGTGTCTTGCGTGTGTGTCTTGCAGACCCCGTGCACGGCCCGCAGAATGTGGAGATTGTGGACATCCGCGCTCGGCAGCTGACCCTGCAGTGGGAACCGTTCGGCTACGCGGTGACCCGCTGTCACAGCTACAATCTCACCGTGCATTACCAGTACGTGTTCAACCAGCAGCAGTACGAGGCCGAAGAGGTCATTCAGACCTCTTCCCACTACACCCTGCGGGGCCTGCGCCCCTTCATGACCATCCGGCTGCGGCTGCTGCTGTCTAACCCCGAGGGCCGGATGGAGAGCGAGGAGCTGGTGGTGCAAACAGAGGAGGACGGTGAGTGGGGGCGGGGGGTGCTTCCTCGGGGTCAGGCCATGCTGAACCTGTCCCGGGGCCACACCCGTCAGTGATGCGGTTTTCTTTCTCCCTGCATCTTTAATGTCCTCCTCTGTAGCCGCCTCTTTGCCAGGGTCTTTAATGGACGGCACTGCAAAACTCCACGGGCCGCTATCCCCGTAGACGCAGACACGCCCTCAGATTTGCCCCTTCCACACCCCCCATCCCTCTTCTCACTTTATAGCCCCTCCTGTGTCCAGTGTTTAACCATACCAGGGCCTCCCAGACAGGCATTGTGTATTGTGTCGTTTAAGCACATTGAATCTGGGAGTCAGACCACTCCGGATTCTGCAGGAGTTAAAATTAAAAAAAAAAAAAAAAAAAAAAAAAGTAAATTAAGTAGCACAGGCATTGGATGCACCCAGAACCGAGTGCTCACCCGGATGTCCGACAGGCAGCTCAAAGTATCCAAAAATGAACCAGTCTCCCCTTCCATACTGATTGCTCGTTCTGTGTTCCTCATGTCAGTGAACTGCATCCAGTAGATCAAAATAAAGATCTGAAATGAGCCTGGAATCCTCCATTTCCTCTCCCCCCTCCCATCCCACACCCCACCCCCACAAGGTTCTGACGAGTGGGTTTCATTCAGTTTACCTCCCAGCATGGCTCTTACCATGGAGACTCCGACACTCCAGAGCCACGTGTAGCTCCTAGAACACATCATGTTTCCCACCCTCTGTCCTTGCCTGAGCTGTTTCTCCTACTGCTGTGGCCTCTCCCTTCATGTCTGTGAGACAAGCTCCATTCATCTTCAAGTCTTAGCTCACATGCTGCTTCTTCCAGGAAGCTTTCCCTGACTGCTCCAAGCCAACTTGGGTGTTCCCTCCCAGGCTCCCGCTGCATTTTCCAAGGAACTCCTTGGAAAGCAGTTATCTTATTTATGGGAGGACAGAACTTGCTGGTTCTAGGACTTACCTAGAAAACACTTTTCGATGGCTGTATTTCAGTTTTCCTTTCAGCCATGCTGTCACTGGCTTCATGGGGGCATCTTTAGTTATTTCTTTGGAATCAGACTGTGAGGTAGAGATTTGGGTGTACGTGATGGATGAAGGAAGTTTTCCCCAGGGAGCCTGGGAAGGGAGGTGGGGGCAGGACAAGGAAGGGCAGGAAGCCAAGGTGCAACTTCAGGCCATGTCCAGCAAAGGGGGCTGCGACCTGCTCTGCAGGAGAACTCTGCAGGGCAGGTCATGCATCAGTCTTGCCCCTGATCAGGGAAGGGAGCTGCCGGCATGGTTAGGGCTGGGATGCAGAGGGAGGATTGGGGGAGGAAATTCTCGGGAAGTGTTGGCTGCGCATGCAGACAAAAGGTGGAGGGGCACAGTGATGGTATAAAGGGTTGGGAAGGAATGGGCAGAGCACTGTCATTGTCAGCCATGTGAGGACCCTATCTCCACTTGACCTGGGTGGGCCTTAGAACCTCAAGGCAGAGCCTCTTCCGTGGCCATCCCACCTAGCACTCTTGTTTCACATAAGCAAGTTCACGGACCTGGAGTGATGGCCCCCGCTGGGGTCCAGACCCACATCCTCAGCTGCAAAGTCCCCTAAGGAGAAAGGGGAAAATGCGCCACCCTCTGCTCATCCTGTCCCCCAATTCGCCTTTCCCCAAATCCCATCTTACAGCTGGAACTTTTACACAACCCACCTACGTGGTGGACCCTTCGTGACCACCCTTTAAATTCATCATCGCAGTGACTCTGCAGGACATCGTCCCTGCAGACTCTGCTTTTCTAGATAGTAACTGCAGTGGAAACCCAGCCTCTGTCACCTTGGCCCCCCACCTTCCTGCCTTGCAGTGAACTTCTGTCCTCTGGCGGCACATTCCTCCTCTGGATCAGCCTCATCAGGCAACCCAAGTGCCTTGCTCCCTGTGAACCCATTCTCATCCGACCTCCAACAGAGGGGTGGGCATCCGATCCGGGCTTCACCTGCAGCCAGCCCTTTCCCTGGATGGCTCTGCCGTTTTCAGAGATGCACAACACCTCCTCCAGCAGGTACAAGGATGCGCTGCTACAGAAGGCGAGCTCTGGAGCTGCACACCTCCGACAAGCTACTTACCTGCTCCGTGCCTCCGTTTCCTTGCCTCTCACATGCAGATACAAATAGTGGCCATCTGATAGGTTGTTACGCTCACTAAAAGGAATGGTATATAAAGAATTTGGAATGCTGGCACCTGGCTGGCTCAGTCGATAGAGCATGTGACTCTTGATCTCAGGGTTGTAAGTTCGAGCCCCACGTTAGACATAGAAATTACTTAAAAATAAAATCTTAAAAAAAAATTGGAATGATGTCCAGCAGACTGTAGGTTTTCAGTGAATGTGGCTGCCACATTTGGATTAAATCACAGAAGAAAAAATGTCTTGACAAAGGACCCTATAGCACAAGCAACGCAGAAACCGGCAGCCTGCCCTAGGACACCTCTCCAGAGTTCTAGACGTGCACTCCAACGGGTTGGAGAAAATATAACCTAGACTCTCAAGGCGTAGTGATGTGGTCAGTGCCTGATCTGAGATGCAGAGGCAGGGCAGGAAGGCTGGTTCAGTGGCAGGGGGTTATTAGACAGGGGGGTGCCGCCACTGTTGAAACTCAGCGTGAAAACTCAGGAGTCCACGTGAATGCTAGGATTTGGTCCAGGAGCAGCTCTGAGTGTTTCCTCCAGGATGCTCTGTGTACCCTGGGCTGCTTTATGAGGATTACCTACATGTGCAACAACAAATCCCAAGTCCCATCTTTAAGCCATGCCTCAACCTCTCCCTTTCTCCTTCCTGTCACTGGGGGAGAGGGGGAAATCACAAAGCCTTTATCAGAATAACTCCAGAACAGCTATGCTTTGAGATTAAACTTTAATTAAAAACCATTAATAAAACATCAATTCCTACTTTGCAGAGACGTGTGGACGTTATCATATTAAAAACACCAACCTCCAAGACAGCGGTCCTCAGTCTCCCAGCTGTGCTGAGGGGAGACTGCCCAGGAGCACAGACCCCTCTCTGTGCTGGGATCAGGTTCCGTTCCTCCCAAGGAGGGAAGAGGCACCATTTCTGTTTGAGGGGAACTCATTCACCTAAGGACAGGCTGAGGAGGGATCATGGCTCCAGTGGATGATCTAAAACCCCCCTCAGGGAACCATGGAGCAGCCTCTCAGATTGAGCTGCCTGGATTCATGCTGCTTTTGTCTCTGCTCCAAAATTGTCTTCGGGGAAATTTGTAGAATTGGTAATTTCAGTGTCCCAGTGCTTTTGAGGGCTTACAGAGTAATCCACCACTGGCGAAAGAAGCTCATGGCCCCTGAGCCCCATTGCATCAGTTGGGAAGCAGCTAAGAGACTAAGTGGGTTCTTTATTTTTCCTTTTTGTCACAGATGACTCAGAGAAAACTGTGGCTTACTTATTTAGTGCTTCCTTCTCTGCCTTTCCCCAGACCACAGTCACAATTATGAAATGGAACCGTATGAGACCTCGAGCCATAAAACAGTGTTGATGATGGTCTCACTTTGGCTGCCACTTTGGTTTACCGAGCGCCGACCCCGTGCTAGGCACTACTAGGCGCATTAGGTACCCAGGATTTTCTTGTGAAATGTTTCCAAGCTGTAGAAAAATTTGAGAGTAGTGCAAAGAAGACATGTGAACCCTTGGCCTAGATTCACCGTTGGTGAACACCGTGCTCGATTTTCTTACTCATATATACGTATGGTATGTCTGAAATGGAGATATCACATATAAAAATACATGTAATATTTTTAAGTCTTTAAAAGTAAATTGCAGAAATCCCAACATCTGATCTCTCAACTCTTTGAGGGTGTATGTTACTTAAGGGTAAGGACGTTCTCCTGCACAGCCATGATACTATAGAACATCTAAGAAACTTAGTATTACTTGAAAAATAATCAGGTAGACAATCCACGTTCACATTTCCAATCATGTTAAGCGTGATTGTTAGGTGACAAAACCAGAAAACAAGACATTTTTGGCAAAAATACCACATGGGTTGGTGATGTGTGTTTTTCACTGTGGCATATCTAGAGTTACATAATGTCAGAGAGCCCCTGACATACTGCCTTTGGTCACTTAGATTTAAGTCCCTCTGCTGTAAATACAGTCCTTTTCCCTTTGGAGATCAGCTTGTCGGTGCAGTGGTGCTTTGAGGCCTGGTGAGTTCCTGATTCCCCCACGAACTTCTCACCCAGTGCTTTTAGCTTCCTTGAAAATCCTCACCTGAATCGGTTACTACACTGGTATTTATAAAAGGGTGAATTTTATTTTGTTATTTTTTAAAGATTTTAGCTGTTTGAGAGAGAGACAGACAGAGATAGTGACAGAGAGCGAGAGTGGGGAGGAGAGGGAGAAGCAGGCTCCCCGCGGAGCAAGGAGCCCAGTGCAGGGCTCGATCCCAGGACCCTGAGATCATGACCTGAGCCGAAGGCAGACGCTTCACCGACTGAGCCACCCAGACACCTAAAAGGGTGAATTTCAAATCTGTCCTTCCCTCTACATGTACTACTTAGCATTCTTCTTTATAGAAGGGTTTTCTCTCCCCAGCCCCTTCCCAACATTTTTAGTATTCCTGTTGATTCATAGATCATTTGTTTTTGGCTCCTTGTATTAAAATCCAGTACTATTTATAATTCTCTTCAGTGCTCGCATTCTCTCATCTGTGGCTAGTGGGTTGGCCCCTAGGTTCTTTTGACATGTTATCATTAGTCTTCCTTGCTTCTGCCATAACAAAATATTCTAGACGACCCTTGTAATATCTCTGACCCAGACCTGAAGTCGACCACTTATCTAAGGATTCCTGGTTGCTTTCAGTGGGGAGTGGGATTTTGGCATTAAGATATACATCTTAGCTTGATCCAGTGGGGTGTTACTGCCTCTAGACTCTTCAAGTAGGTAGAATGGAGGGATGTAATTTATCTGTTTTAAATCATAAGGTTGTACTGATTCAAA